ACTTCTACTCTTACGTCATCATCATCCCCATTGAAAAAGTGCAGCAGATTTATTTAAGACTACAATTCTGATCTTGGGGACATGGGGAAATCAAACCAGTAAAAAGGCCCATGGAATTAAACTGCAATTTGGGAAATGTAATGTAAGGGGCAGCCTACAACAAACTGCCCCATGCATAACTTTTCCAAATACTTGAACCTGTGTGGGAATAAAAAAGGACTTTACAAACCTGTGGCATAACATTTAAACACCCTTTTGCAAAGACTTAACTTTCTAGAGCAAAAAATATTGAATGACAGTGGTTCTCAATTTACATCAATCAGAGCAATTCTGATTCCTTCTCTGCCTAGAAAAGTATCCCAGGGAGGCTTGATGAACAGCACAATGCTTGGAGACATTGGAGGCTGCGCAATGCAGAAGCAGCCATTTAGTATGAGCAAAGCGAGTCTGTTCGATGTAATGCAATTCGCATCCAGTACCGAGGTGGTTTCGAAAACAAAAATCCATGCATTTTTCACTCTCAGATCTACTTGGTCTCGATCTAGAGAATGAAGCATCTCACACAGCATCTGCTGTAGAAATGACTGGCATTATCTGAGAAGTTGTGCTCTTTGGTTGAGGATTGGGAGAGGCTAAATTAGAATCATGATGAAACCAGGGATGTGCCAGAATTGAGAGTCTAACTAGCTCCCAGAAGTATTCCACAGGGATGTTGGAAACAGCCAGAGAGGTGCCAGCCTGTAGCCAGCAGGTGCTTATGATGAGGAGCAATGTGGTTTTCTCTGGGTCTGCTGGCAAATGTTGGCTGCAGGTCTCTGTGTGTCACAGCAGGGACGTGGCACCATCGGAGTGTGACTCAGCACAGAGCGTGCCTGGGGAGCTGAGGTGCAATGTTTGTGTGCAGTGTGTACATGAGAGGCTGGCTGCAGCTGGGCTGGCCACATCAAACTGCCTCATGGGTCTGGCTCTTAACTCCAAAAATGGGAATCCTTGTGGGAGACTTAGCTGCCAACTCCCTGTGCCATCATCAAACTGCCTCATGGGTCTGGTATCTGGCCAGCTCTTAACTCCAAAAATGGGAATCCTTGTGGGAGACTTAGCTGCCAACTCCCTGTGCCAGATGCATTTCTGAATTTCAGCTGGACAAGGGTCTGTGATCAGCATCTCTGGCCACTGTGTGTCCCCTGTTGCCTTCACTAGTCTCACTTGAGCAGGAGGGTGACAGTGCAGGCAGTGGTGTTGTATGCCTGCTGAAGGACAGGAGGTTGTCCAAGACAGGTGAATTCTGAGAAAAAATGTCTTTTCTGAAAGAAAGCAGTATGCAAGAATTTAGCAGTCCAGCCTTTCACTAGTTTTGCTTTTTAGAGCATTTTCATAGTTCTGTGACACAGCTGAAGACAGATTACAGCTCTTCAGTTAATACTGTGTCCAAAAGTCCCTCATTCCATGTGCTGTTTTGTTCTCCCTTTTGCTAAAACCCCTCAGTTAAACAACTGCCTTTTGAATTTGATTGTTAGGCCCATACAGTACAGTTTTCAGTGTTTAATAGCTAGTTTTATGGCTCCCTTGTAAATAATCAAATTATTGTATTCTATACAAGAACCAGGAGTAAACATGTTCTGATGGCAACAACTGTAGAGAAGCCTGGCTGCATACCAATGGAATAGCAAGAACAAAACTGTTTCTTGAATAACTGTTCAAATATATTGCTATAAATAATGAATAGCTGTCCTGACGAAACATAATGCTGTTGAAAATGGAGATAAGATGATGTGATGGATCAGTATTTATTTTCTTTAAAGTGTTATTTCTTTTGCCTGTCAGCAAACATTCTCTGTGTTTAAATGAACTGCATTTCTTCTCTTTCTAGACAGTCCTAGGCTTGTGAACTGGCTGCTCCACCAATCACCTACTACTCATGAAAATTAGCTTTTGAATTTACAACAGCTCTTCATTTAGTTGTCCTGGCAATTTTCAGAAGTAATTCATTTTGTACTTGGTTTTTTTTTATGTTTCTCACATTCTTAATAAGCAATGAGAGATTTGAGAGAGAATATAAATCTGTAATTTTATTTTAAGGATTTTTTTTTGTAGTGCTCTTGTACTATCACTTCTGTTGTCATTCAAATGTATATAAGGCGATTTCAGTCATAAAAAGCTCTCGGTGTCATGTTCTGCCACTTTGGCATCATGATAAATATTACTTCAGTCAAGAAATGAAAATGATTCTAAAGGGACTGCTCATTGAAATAGTTGCTAGTCGTTATGATAAGTACAGCAGGCTCTGGCTGTAAACCTTTGATTTGCACACAATTCCTTGGAGGTGTACATGATCTCCAACATGACTGAGGAGTGCAAAGCCAGCTCTGTAGCTCCTTTCTATACTGTGATTTACTGCACCTTTATATGTGGTCTCCTAGGGCTATATGGTGAAACTGAAAGGCAGCACACTCATTAGGTAATTTAAGCTATCTCAGTGAGTGGAAAATGTTGGTTTGGGGATTGTAGATCATCAATAAATTGTTCATGTGTGAAATGAAAAGCCACCTTGAGGTCAGCTTCCAGTAAATTCATCTTGAGCTCAGGCAATTTGGAAACACCTGGCTTAACCCACTAATTATTTGATTGACCACTATGACTTGAAAAACAAGGTAGAGATATCAGGCAATAATGGCTTCATCAGAACTTTTAAACACTGCTGCTTTTTCAAATAAAGAGATCAGGACCTACAGCAAATGCAGCTGCCACAGGGCAGCACAGCCCACTATTCTGCAGTGATAGGAGTCCAGAGCCTTCTCAATCTGATGAATTGCATGCCAAGATCTTTAGACAACCAGATTCATGAGACATGACCTTCCACCCTGGAGAGCCATGGGATAGCAGAGGTTGAAGGGCGATGCAGCCAACAGTGTTTTTCCTAGGGTTTCAGCAAGAGGGAGCTGGCTGCAGGGGGAATGCAGCAGGTTCCCAAGATCAGCCAGTACCATCAACCTCAGCCACATTTGTGCCCCTTTTCTCCCCATGCGGAGGATTCCAGTTCCACAGCAATCCCTGTGGCAGTGCTGGCTCATCTCTGATTGCATGAGACATGAGCTAAGGCGAGATTAAAGAAGAGTATCAGAAAGCATTGTGATTCTTCTGCTTTTAAGTTGTACTTTTTTGCCAATTCTCCAAGAGCTCTTACCTTCAAGTGGGTGATACTGCTTTGACCTGTGCATCCAAGCTGTGGGTTTATATGGTTGTAGTTTCTTACTTGCCCAATATAAACATTTTTGAGAAAATCACCGATGCTGCATCCCCTGGCAGCACTATTGACATTGTACTGTTCTTAACCTAACGCAAGCTAAAGAGTCAGTTTTTCAAGTGAGTTAGTGATGCCTTAGAAATTTATGAAAATGGCATCTAGGTAATGCAGATTTTATATAGGCAAAAGGATATATGAACTGTATGGATATAATTTTGGTCATCTGTACCTGGGTATTTCAGGAATACGTGTTATGAAGGAGCATTTAATGACTAGTAAATAACGAAAAGGTTCCACATTCTTAACTGAATCCCTTTTCCATGTGCTCTATCAATAAAAGAATGCTGTTCTGTCAGCTTTCAAGAATTTTTAATCTGTTGTTATTGTTAACTATAACTTAATACTGTTGTAAATTAAAATCTACATATAGGATGTTTCAAAGGGTTCCTCTTGTGACTGCCTGAGAATGCCAGAGACATGAGAAGTATACATTACATTACATTAAAAAGCATAGCCAGATGGTGCACATTAGATTCACCTTATACCCTTCAGGAACCCACTCCTTCAAAGAGAGTACAGAGTCCTCAACGTCACAAAATCTTCTAATCTGGGAGAGGAAGGACTGTCAGCATCTCTCCCTCGTCTGATGGCATTGGGGCTAGCAAACGCAGGGGAGTGCCTTGCCAAGTGTACACTTGGTCTTTCAGGGCTTCATCTCACCTGGCTCACAGCGCTGCTCCCTTCAGATGTCACCTCAGGAGAAGCCAGTGTCATCTCAGAAGTGTGTGCCAGCAGCACACTGGCTGGTCCCTGGTGGAGGTGCATTCCACATTCTTTCCAAGTCCTGTTGCTCTCTCCAGAGTGAATTGGGCAGGAAGCTCATGGTGTTTGGGGTTGTTCTAGCCCTGCAGTTGCTGTCAGAGCTGCAGCACAGAGAGCAGGGGCTCAGCATGCCCAACTTGCACAGCCTTTGCCCCAAGCCCTCCATACCACCACTGCTTGTGCCAGAGCTGTGCTCCAGCAGTGCACCATGTGCAGTCCTGTTGAGAGAGAGTTAATGGTGCTTGATGAATGAAGCAGTTTGGGAGGTAGAATGAGGTCTGAAGCTATGGCTAGTAGGTTGATGAAGACATTGTACTGTCTGTGCTGCAGCTGGGACACTCACTGAGCTCTGCTGTGCTCTGCTCTGTCCATTCTGAGACTGAGGGCCAGGCTGGAAACCCCAAGGGTTGGGGCCAAGGCAGCACACCCCAGCCCTTCCACAGGTCCCAGTCCTCTGAATCTCTGATCTTGATGTGGCATAAGCTATTTGGGATGATAAAAGATTTTTGATCATTCACAGGCCAGCTATTAACTTACTACAGATGCCTTTATCTATTGATGTGAAATACTATCATGTAGTAAAGCTCCAAAGATTTATGTAAGCCAACAGGAAGATGACTTTTTACCATGTCCCTATGGAAGTACTGCTGTTTTATTAAGTGAGTTGATTTGGAAGAAATCACCATTGAATTTAACTTTTGCAGCTGACCTAATTTTCTCTTGAAAGATTTAAACTTTTCTAGTAGGCTTGATAGTCTGTCAGCATCAAGAATTTCTGCCTTTTTACTAGTGTATGACTGTCACTCTGACACACTGATCTAAAGTGAATTACAGCAGCAGGAACCATCGTTTCAGAATACTAGAAAAAATAGTGTAATTGTTTTACTTAAAGAATTATACTGAAAGATTGCTCAATCTGTTTTTCTCTTCCCAGCTGGTGGCCTCCATCGTGTTTATCAGCTTTGGTGTTGTAGCAGCCTTCTGTTGTGCAATAGTTGACGGAGTGTTCGCAGCACGGCACATAGTAAGTGCAGCGATTTTGTCATCTTTCAATTTTTATTATTTATGTCATTTCTAGCATGAAGGTATTTTCTTTTGGTGTATGTTCAGCAGTATATTAGGGTTTTTGATAGTTCTTGGTGGAGATTCCAAATAGAAAGGTGATTATAAAATTATGCCATGAAAGGCATGCTAAAAGGTGTATTTGCTTAGAAAAGGAAGACATTTCAACCACTACCAGCATTCGTTTCCTGTTGTACAAAGGCTTTGTGGGCACAGTAAGGATTTGGAATGCACCCAATGATGAGCACCGTCACCTGATGGGATTTGAATATACTAGTTTATATATGTGAGAAATGTGTTGTTTGCTGTTCTATCTTTTGTGATGGAATGCCTAAAAAATCAGTTTAAACCCTAGCTTTTAATTGAGCTTTGATTTCCAAAATCATCAGGAAATAAGTAGTCATATGTGTTAACAGACGTTAGAGGTCAGATGTAGTATGCTAAATAATACAGCAGGATGGTATACGAGCCTTTCTCTGCTATGAAATACCATAAGCCTGCTCATCTTTCTGCTTGTGTTCATTGAGGGGCAGCATAACTCCACTGGCATCAGTGACAACCTGTTGAATTTTTGTTAGCAAATACCTCAGAATAATTAGGCTTTAGATCACCTGGAGCATAAAGTTATAAACTGATTTATATTTTACTGCTACTGAAGAGGGCTTTAAACCAAATGTGGGTTTCAGAGCTTCATATGCATTGCACGAGACAAAAGACATCAATTGGTGTAAACAGCAGAGGTGTGCAATGTGAGCATGGATAAATGCTCTGGATTGTAGTCATGTTTTGTGTTGTACAGACCCTGCATGATGCCACAGTGGCCTGCTTTTTCTTGGATTTACCCTGTAGCAGGTTTGGATGACACCTGGTTTAACTGTCTCTGATTAGCAAAGGCCCAGGGAGCCTTTCCAAGGGACCTGCTTAAAAGAAGAGGGGAGCAAATTCCTATTTAGATTCCCTGCTCCAGAACATTCAAGTGGTAGTGCCCTGGAAAACCACTGACACTTATTGAAATTTTGGACCTGTCCTGGAGAGGCTGAGGCAACTGGGGTCGTTTAGTCTGGAGAAGCAGAGGTTATTTGTAGGAAAGGAGGTTATAGTGAGGTGAAGGTCAGTCTCTTCTACTATGTCCCCCTTGAAAGCTTGAGAATAAATGGCCTTAAGTTGAGCCAGGGGAGGCTCAGATTGGATACTCAGAGAGTAGTTAAGCATTGGAGAAAGTTGCCCAGGAAGATGGCAGAGTCACCATTTCTGGGAGTGTTCAAGAGGCGTCGGGATGTGTGACTTAAGGATATGGTGTAAAGGTGATTTTGGGTTGATGGTTGGACTGTATGATCCTGAGGGTCTCTTCCAACCTTCATGATTCTGTAGTTTCCCAGGAACCTGACTTATTTATGTCCTGCTTTAATGTGATCATTAGGAAGTGTTCAGAAGGCACTTGTGCAGTCTTACACGTTGTAACTGCAGTGCAGCTGTGCAGCCACAGCCCCCCATTGCTGAGGGTGGACACAGCTTCTCTGAGGTGAGGTCCTCTGTCAGGGACAGTGAGTGCTCAGTCTCAAGCACAGACACAGGCATTGCTCCTCACACCTTTCTAGGTGTTTTTAGTAGGAGAACACCAAGGCACAAAGTTCATTGCACACACCCAAGAAAAAGGCATCTTACCATCTGGGGGATGCAGTTCTGTATCTCGTTAAGTGAGTGATTGGGTATGACTGCATCCCCTGTGCAGAGCTGGAGGGTGGAAGGGGCTGGTCACCATCCATCCATTCCCAGGAGTGCTGTACAAGCCAGTAACATGATCCTGCTTCAGTCACATCATGACAGGCTTCATGGAAATCCGTGACCAGTTGTTTACATTTGGGCTTACTTCTGTTTGTCACATCTGTATCTTGCTGTCTCCTTCACCTGTGACAGAGCAAAGAAATATTAAGTGGCACAATTTGTTGGAAAACTAATTTGTATCTCAGCATGACCACACTCACTTCAACCCATTCTCCTCTGTCTAATAAGGAACCTGATAGGATCAGGTGAAGTAAAGTCACATCACCAAGTTTCTCTGACTAATACACCTGGGAAGGTCTGTAGGGATGATAGTGTAAGTGTGCTCCCAATTTAATTTACAACAATGGTGGGGCCTTATCAGAAGAACACGTGCCATGCAGACTACGGTGTCACTGCCATGGAGTTACATCCTCTTTGCATCACAGCTCATTTCCTTCAGAAGAACAGCAACATCACATTCAGTCCACTCTCTACAGGCAGTACCAGCCTTTTTCAGACCTGGGTTATGCTCTTCCCATTTGTGCATAGCCTTTGGGGCATAACTGCTGAAGAGTTGGAGTAAACTGTCCTCCAGCAGGGAAAGGACAAATTCAATGTCAGAGCAGGTGCCTATATTAAAGCGACAGACTTTTTGTGAGAAATGGTAGCTGAAGCCAAGAAGTCTTCAGACTGACTACAAATACAACATCTTTCACATCAATTTGGAATAAAAAATGTGTCCCCCTTTTTATTTTATTTTTAGCTTCATTTGAGCTGGAAAGGATGTGAAGAGGGCAAATCACATAATTGCAGATTTTTCTTAGTATGTGCCTGCAGTGGAATGGAGACAATTAGTGTTGCACATTTTCTCCTGCTTTTATAAAACTGTGAATAGAATAATAAAATAGTTTTCTCTGTTTTATTTCCTTCCCAATGAGGCATGAAATTGACAAAAATTCTTCCTAGAAATGGATGTATTTCAGAAAAGAGATGCTTAAATTATTTAAGACTTACTTTGCTTTATAGAAAACTCTGGATCACACCATTTATAAAATTAAAAACACTGAAGGAAATGTAGCTTGATTTAAAATAGCAGTAGCTTATTTAAGAAATAATGCAGATATATTTCACCTTAAAAAGACAATTAAAAAAAACCCAAAAAAACAACCAAACCAGAATCAAGTGACATAAATCAAAGTTGAAATTCAAGTGCAGTGATGTTATTTCAGAAAAATATCGTGATTAAAGGAATTTATGTGCATTTGTGTTTGCTTGAGACATTTTGTTATTTAGCAGATGAGAGTAGTCCAGTTTTTGTGTTGGAGATCATTCAGCAACATTCTCCCACTGCACAGGGAGATGCCCTGTCCCACCACAGGTACACATTCTCTGCAGTAGCTATGCCCTCCTACTCATGACTGCAAGCCTTGACCATTGCCACATGATCTTCAGCTTTGCAGTTGTGCTCCAGATGAAACCTAAAATAGCCAACAGCAAGAAATCCGGGTATGAAGTGAAGAAATTGCCTTTTCCAACTGAGTTTATTCTGTGATTCTGTGAAGGAAAAGCTGGGTGCTATGGAAGGCAGAGTTGCTAGTCCATTGTGACATCTAAAATGCACACCAAACCAAGCAGTGTTAAGTTGTTCCTCTCCTCTTCTGCAAAGCCACTTCTGTGTAACAGTGATTTAATATAATTTTCAGCTGACCTAGTTTCTTCCTCTTGATAGTGGTGGCTTAAGGAATTAATTAAAATAGAATATGTCATCAGGTGATAAGCCCTAAAATGAACCTGAGAACGAACTTAGCTGAACTAGAGGATACTGAAACACTCCTAGACTCCTGGATTTGGGTCTTCACCCATATGGTTTAAGTGCAGCTTGTGGACTGCTGAAGTATATCAGCTGGGTAATCACCTACTGATGTGGGAGTTTAGAAATTAAACTTGAAATATTGGCTTTCTGTTTATATATAGTAACTCAAAATACTAAGATGGGCATTATGTAAACTCACTTTCTGTGAGGCACAGAGACAAGGCAATGGGAAAATGGAGTCTTTGATCTAGGGGATGCTGATGCAGATTGAGCTCTGGTTGGTGGAACTCCAAAGCTGCTGTATTAAGCAATGTAAAGTTGGCAGCCCTGACCTAGTGAACAAATAGCTACATTATAAACACATTCTGTGTGATGAAGATCTGCTGATTTCTGTGTTAAGAGCAGCTCCCCAGCAGAGATGCAGAAACCCCTGCCCAGCAGTGCCCTGTGTGCTCCCAGCAGTGACATTGTGTGCTCCCAGCAGTGTCCTGTGTGTTCCCAGCAGTGGCATTGTGTGCTCCCAGCAGTGACATTGTGTGCTCCCAGCAGTGACTGTGTGCTCCAGCTGCTCCCAAGTGCAGGGGTGCCGGTGCTGCTGCCCGTGTGCCCTCAGGAGCTGGCAGCCACGTGCGGTGTTGCACGTGCGGTGACCGAGGATGTCAATCCCCTTCCCATCTCTGGAGCTTCTCATGCAGGTTGCCGACACTCGGGCAAGGACAGCAGCAGGGGTGACAGGCAACTTGGCAGGCCACTGCTGCATTTTACTACAGGGGGTTTCATATGCCCATGGCATGTAACACAGGCCACAGTCTTGCACACTACAGACCAGATCCTCTAAAAAGCCATTTGAAAATGTTCTGAGCAAACCTGTTGGCTTTCCCGTTGAAGAAAAAAACAAATAGTTGTATTCCACGTCTAACACAACTCAAAGAATAATTTCTCACTGGAATTGAATTAGGTAGATTCTCTGGAGAACAACACTAAATGCATTTTGTGTTCTCCATGTTGCCACATGAGACAAAATTACACCTAATTACTTTTAATTCCATTTCCATCCTGTATGACTCATTAATGTAATAGCATGGCATAGCATATACCATAAAAAGCATCAAAAGCAGCACATCCAGCAGGTCAGGGGAGGTGATCTGCCCCTCTGCTCTGCTCGGGTGAGACTCCACCTGGAGTGCTGCATCCAGCTGTGGAGTCCTCATCAGCAGAGAAAGGACACGGAGCCCTTGGAGCAAGTCCAGAGAAGGGCCACAAAGATGATCAGAGAGATGGAGCACCATTCTTGTGAAGACTGGCTGAGATAGCTGGGGTTGTTTAGCCTGGAGAGGAGAAGGCTCCATGGAAACCAGACTGGGGCCATCCAGTACCTAAAGGGG